GGAGTACCAAATGGAAGTATTCAGGTGCATAACTCTTTGCAGGAATGGGTCCTAATTATGCACATGGCTAGTCCATGTATCCAGGAGTTCCTATCATTGTTACTTTTATCCCCAATCCCTGTCCTTTCCCCTCCAATTATTTGTTGCATCTTATCTTTAATTATTAAACTGTTCAAGGCAGAGATGGTTTTTAAATGGTGGTTTCCTACAGGGCCCAGACATAGTGGGGCCCTGATCCTAATAGGACACCACTGTTATACCAAAATAGTTATCTATATTTAGTTCTATCAAATATTCTCACATCAACTCTATTTACCCTGTCTTTGTGGTATCCAACTGTTGTCGCTAATAATTTCCTTGCTTTCCACACAAGGATCTCAGATATCCTTTCATTGGAAGCCTAGCAAAATGAGCCGTTTTTAATATTTCAGCATTTTAAACTCCTCCAATTTCTATATTGACAAGTTGCTTTAATTTGTGTTTTGGAATTGTTCATATCCAAAGCTTTGTAGGAGGTAGCTTTGTGATAACATCAGCTTTTGTTTCTTTAGTAAGGATAACTGGAACTCAAGCTGCAGCAGATGGTAACCCTATGAGAGAAAGTTAAAGGTCTTCCAAATAATTTAGAATAGTCTAATTTTAAGACTGTTCATGGTGGCAAGGAAAATTAACAGCTGTATAAATGAGTGTTTCCAATCTAGGTTAGATGCACAATACTTAAGTTATTACAGCTTTTTTTGTGTGTGGAAAGGAGTCAAGCAAGTAATATAATCAGAATTTTAATGCATAACAAAATGGCGATGACACACTGACATGACTTTCCTGCTTAGAAGAGGGCAATTTTAAACTTAATTGGAATCACATGACAATTCATATGGTTAAAATGACTGTCTGGTTTGTAGCCATATCAACTGAATTTATAAGAAACACTTTCCTTTTATTGATAATTAAAACGATAAAATTTGAAACAATGTGACATAGTAGACTCGAAACAGATTTTTGTTTGTTTGCTTGTAACAGCTTGTGGGGAATAAATAAGCATGCAGTATTTTCCCAACAATTGGCATCTAAACAATTTTAATATTAGTTTATCCCCAAATATAATTGTGGTGGTAATCTTTTTATAAGCTATACCTAGAACCGGGGGTCCAACCAGTCACACCATGCTTCCAGGGACCAGACATATAGAAAAACTGGAGGAAAGTGAATTAGATTGAGGCTTTATAATTAGGACTCAGCTATTAGGCAAAGGACCTTTCGTCTCCTTAGGTGGAGCTGTAATGTAATGCCTTAACTGTCCCTATTATAGGCTGGAAGAAGAGTGCTCTACAATAACAAGAAATCCATTACGGAATAAATTGCCTAGGGACGTTGTGGAATCTCCATCTCTGGAGATATTTAAGAGTAGGTTAGATAAATGTCTATCAAGGATGGTCTAGACAGTATTTGGTCCTGCCATGCGGGCAGGGGACTGGACTCGATGACCTCTCGAGGTCCCATCCAGTCCTAGAATCTATGAATCTACTATGGTAAACTTCATGTCAGTTTTTACTATGTCAGGCCTCCTAACATAAGAGAAGAATTGTTTAAACTAACTCTGAAAAGCAAAGCAAGTGTGCAGGGCTTTGGAGTTGTGCTCCGGCCCCGCTCCAGCTCCAGGCAAAAACCTGCAGCTCCACCCACTGCTCCGTGCTCCAGCTCTGGGCTCCGCTCCAAAGCCCTGCAAGTGTGTCTATTATCTACTAATATAAAGTGTCAAGCATTTCTAATTGAATAGTGGTCAGAATAATTGTTCATCTCCTTGCATGCATTAATACAATGAAAATAAGTCAATTTTCCAGATTTCTCATAGGCATAGCAGTGGGGAAATGGCTTTGATTTTGCTGTAAAAAGTGAAAAATGATTACTCTTTGACCAGGCTGGATTTAGAGTCAGGCGACCGCCTAGGGTGCTGGCCTTGGTGGGGGCTGGGCTTGGGGTGCTGTTTTTGTTGTTAGCAACAAAAGGGAAAATAGAATATTTGAAGTAAAATGTTTCAGGTATTCCATATGTAGATTAATTTTTCACTAGCGTCCTGGAATGTTCTGGACCTTTGTAGAATCTCATGGAACCTTCCAAACTTTCTGAGAACTACATTTTCCTTAAACCCTCCTAGAATGCTATCATATGCCCATGAGGGCATAGCTAAGGGGCGAGGCATTGCCAGTCAGTCAGTGAGATATAAGAACGAACTGAAGTGAGGTGAGAGCCCAGCTGAGATATTGTGAACCTTGTTTTATTGTGTAATTGTGAAAGTGTACTTGTGTTTTAAGACTTGAAGAGTGAAAGTAGTGACTAATAAAGGACGTATTTAATGAGACACCAGAGATATCTATCGAACCCTGATCTATGCAACAATATAAAAGAAATACTGTTACTTCTTTTGTCATGCTTAACATGTAATGTTTGATGACTTTCTAAGACTGTGGAACATAGGCTTTTGCTCTCTCTAATACTCTCTATTTTCAATACAAATGCAATAAAAAAATAAAGTATTTAAAAAGTTTAACAAATGGAAGAGGAGAAGCCAAAGATGCTTCTTGCCTGGGGTGCCATTTGGTCTAGGGCGAGCCCTGTTCTTTGATTATAATTATGATTATCCATTTCAGTATTATTTATCCCAAGTATATCTAGCAAATGTGCTCACCACAGTAACTTGATAAAACTAAGGACATTTCCTGACAACAGATAAAATTGTTTATCTTTTTAGAATATTGTTGTTCATGAAAGCGAAATATAAACACTGGCTAGAGCCAGGCATGTTGGTTGCAGGTGCAATACAGAGAACTTTAAAGAGCTCTGCTAATGCTGCTCATATTGACAAACAATATACAAATTCCTCTAGCAATAAGCCTCTCCTGGCTGAGATTGTCAATTAAATGGTCTAAAGCAGTGTTTTTCAACCTGTGGGTTGTGACCCAGTACTGGGTCACGGCATGTCAGGCGCTGGGTTGCCTTGCTCTTCTCAGCACTGCCGACCAGGACATTAAAAAGTTCCGTCGGCGGTGTGATGGGTTTGGTCACAGAAACTCCCTCCAATTTCCACCACATGCATCTGACGAAGTGGGTATTCACCAACGAAAGCTTATGCTCCAATACGTCTGTTAGTCTATAAGGTGCCACAGGACTCTTTGTTGCTTTCCCCCTCAAGACTGTCACTAGATATGCGGGGATACCACTGAGAACAAACCCCCCTGCCAGAGAAGGCTTCTCTCCACTCCCATCTTGCTGAGCTAGACACTCAGTCTGCTACAGCACAGACCAAGAGGTTGGGCCACGCGCCCCCACAGTTCTATCGAAACTAAGATTCCCTTAGCCCAGGGCTTCTCAGTTAACAGGGACTTCCCCAGCACCCAGTATTCAGTCTTTCTGGGAGCCTAAACCCCAAATGAACCCGTTTTACTCTGTATAAAGCTTATACAGGGTAAACTCATAAATTGTCCGCCCTCTATAACACTGATAGAGAGAGATGCATAGCTGTTTGCTCCCCCAGGTATTAATTACTTACTCTTGGTTAATTAAGAAGCAAACGTGATTTTATTAATTATAAAAAGTAGGATTTAAGTGGTTCCAAGTAATAACCGACAGAACAAAGTAAGTTACCAAGCAAAATCAAACAAAAACACGCAAGTCTAAGCCTAATACATTAAGAAACTGAATACAGGTAAATCTCACCCTCTGAGATGTTCCAATAAGCTTCTTTCACAGACTGGACTCCTTCCTAGTCTGGGCCCAATTCTTTTCAGACCAACATTGTAGTTTACGGCCTGGGTCCAGCAATCACTCACACCCCCGTAGTTACTGTCCTTTGTTCCAGTTTCTTTCAGGCATCTCTTTGGGGTGGAGAGGCCATCTCTTGAGCCAGTTGAAGACAAAATGGAAGGGCTTCCAGAGCGGAAACCCCTTTCTTCTTCTGTGCAAAATCACAGCAACAAGATGGAGTTTGTAGCCATCTGGGTAAGTCACATGTCCATGAATGATTCAATTTTTTGCAGGCCGACGCCGTTGTTTACATGTTAGTTTGAATGTTCCCAGGAAAGCTCAGATGTGGATTGGCATCTCCCAAAGTCCATTGTCAGTTAAGTGTTTCTTGATTGGGCACTTACTCAGAATAGTCCTTTCTCAAGAAGCTGACCAAATGCTTCACTGATGCTACTTAGAATCAAACACAAGTACATAGCCAAAATTCATAACTTCAAATACAAAAATGATACACACTTACAGACAGCATACTCATAAACAGCAAATTACAACCTTTCCATAGACGCCTTACTTGACCTCCTTTGTACAAGATTTGGTGCAACTATAGGACCTTGGTTGCAACAATGATCTACACAGTCACAGTTCACGTCAATAATGTCACAGGTGGTGCTGTCCAGCTAAGGCAGGCTAGTGCCTACCTGTTTCCACACCGCGCTGTGCCCTGGAAGTGGCCAGCAGCAGTCTGGCTTCTAGGAAGGGGGGCCACAGGGCTCCGTGCACAAACCCCGCCCCGAGCACTGGCTCCGCACTCCCATTGGCCAGGAACCGGCCAAAGGGAACGAGGCGGGGGGGGGGAGAGGGGGAAAAAGAGGAAGGGGGCAGTGCTTGCGTGCCTCCGCCTAGGAGCCAGACTTGCTGCTGGCCGCTTCCGTGGCGCAGTGCGGTCCACCCCGGCTGTGCCACTGAGCCGCTGGAGGTAAATCCGTGCCCATGCCCCAATCCCCTGCCCCAGCCCTGGAGCCCCTCCTGCACCCCAACCCCCCCAGCCGCAGCCCAGAACCCTGACTCCCTCCCACACTCCAACCCCCTGCTCCAGTCCTGAACCCCCCCCCCAAACCCGGAACCCCTTCCTGCACCCCAAGCCCCTCATCCCTGGCCCTACCCCAGAGCCTGCACCCCCAGCCCAGAGCCCTGACCCGCCCCACACCCAACCCCCTGCCCCAGCCCAGAGCCCTCTCCCACACCCCAAACCCCTCATCCCCATTGAGTCGTGGGCATCAACGATTTTCTTCAACTGGGTCCCCAGAAAAAAAGTTTGAAAACTACTGGTCTAAAGAAGGTTGTTTAAAAAACATCTCATCAACAAATATTGTGAAAAAAGATACTTATGTTTTATTACGAAAGTCACACCACTGTCTGAAACATAGTATCTGCCTTAACAAATCTTGTTATAATTGTCATCTAAAAACAAGCAAAAGGGATTTAAGTTTAGTTTTGTGTGTTTTGGTTATTTTATTCTTGTTCCAATAAATATTAATATACAAGAATGACTAGATTTCTTCACTTTTTACTACAAAAAGGGACAATATTTGAGAATTTAATAATCAGAACAGACATTTATTTTACATTTCTGTTACCCAAAAGAAAAGTTTATGATCTCCACCAACTGCACATAATGGAAGAGTCCTATGCCAGGTCAAACCAGATCCTACAGCCGCAGAGCCAATAAGAATGGGCTAAAATAATAAAAAAAAATATATATTTTTTTCAACATATCATACAGATATTTACTAAACCAGAGCTAAATATGCAATCACAAGTTCAATAGGCAACTAAAATGTGAGACTTTTGCAAAAAAAACAACAACCCCACCACCACCACACCATTCCTTAAAAAAAAAAAAAAGTATTTAAATTAAAAATCTCACTGCCTACTATCTATTTCTGTCAGCTATTGTACGCATATTGTTAAAATACAATACTGCAAAATGTTCTACAAGTGATAGAATTGAATCTTTGTAGAGAATCTACAAAGGCTGTCTCCACACCCCAGATGATTTTAGTAAAATCTGCTGTTATTCAAGGTTACAATTAGTATGTTTGGAAATAGTATGCTTTTTGTGCCCAAGACAGTGAAAATCTGCCTAATATAAAACCTCCTTTCCTCTGTGCTATTAGAGAATTGGAATACATTTGAATTACAAAATACTATAGGATATCTTATAGGTTATTTAGTTTGTACCTTGCAGAATGCAAATAAAACTCAAAAGTGGTATGATTCAAGTTGCCTTAATAAAGCAGATACAATTAATATTTTCTAAGATTCTGAACAGTCTTAATGCTTGCATGTGAAAACACAGAGACAAATGATGGAAAGAACAAAGATCAACAGATTCTCATTCCTCTTGCAATTGTACAAAAAGTAGTGTGTGGCATATGCCCACTTGATTTGACTGATGATCCTTGCTTAGTGCTTCAAAGGCACGACTTCTTCTTCTTCTACCATCCTTCCCAATATCATACCCTGGGATAGTATTTCTCCAGCCTCAACTTTAATCAGTTCAATAATATAGATGTGACAAAAAGCCACCACAGTTAATCATCTGATTGCATTTGTAAACTATGGTTGTCCAATTTGTTCTTGAGCCTTTAATACCACTAATGATGATTCTGTCATTATTACATGGAGTGGAGAATTCCATGGTAATTAAAAGACAAAAAAGGAAGTCCCTCCTTGTACCTTACATACATTTTATTTGTACATATTTCCAGAACACAGAGAATTGTAAATAAGCTTATTTTAAACATAATAAAGTATCAGAACCTTCTGATTTGGCCTTATTATAACTACAAAGAGTGGAAAAAAAGTGCAAAACCAAGAGTTGAGAGTGTTCTAAGATTTTTCTCTGGTAACTTTTGGCATGGAAAAGATGAAGTAGTAACAGTTTCTACATGATCTTGATGAACTTTTAAAGGTATAGCTGTTTATACATGGATTTAAAGAGAATGGATTGATCCAACCCAAAACATAGAATTGTATAATTTTACCTGAGGGTGTCCTAAATGATGAACTAGAAGCTGGCAAGTCATCTTTCCTGGATAGCCAGTGGTTGCAAATAAGTTTTCATTCACTCTGGACCACCTATGAATAAATCCAAGGTGCTTTTAAATACATGTGTTATACCATCATGAGCATACGCAAATCTGATTTTTTGTCTGCAGTTAAATATTGCGCAAAGCCACCCTAAATTCTGCTGAAACCTGTGAAATACATGCACTGAGATACTTTATATTTAAGACACACCCCATTCAGTCCTATCTACGTGAATTAAAAATGAATTAATGAATGTGTTATACATTAAGGACCCTATCCTGCCAAGTCCCAATCACTCTCAACTCCCAATGAGATTAGAATCTTGCAGGACAGAGCTATCTAAAAGCTAACAGTCTATTGATGGAAAGAAGACACGAACACTAGAAGGAATTGGGACCACAATCCCACAGTTGTGTACATGCAGGCAGACCCCTGCACTTGTGTAGAGCCCCATCAATTAGTAACATACAAACTGTTACATTCTTTCACTTTGTAACATTGCTGTACTACAAGATGCAACACACTGTAGGCATTACTAGAAACAATAACTAACACTTGCTAAAATGAGATTTTTAAAATTAAACAGGCTACTAATATAATTTTTCTTCAAATTAATTTACTATAACCCCCCTTCCCCAAACTATACCTGAATAATCTGGCTCGATCTACATGGACAGGTCTCTTATCTTGTGGATAACTATAAAAAAAAAAAAAAGACATTTTGAGTAAGCATCCATTCCACAAACTATAGGAAATGATACACTTCACTTCATATCACAAGGACAAAAAGTACAGATCATTTAAAAGAGTAGCAGGTTCAAGTTGTGGGGTGGGAAAACATCTACTGACAGACAAAAATTATTTTGACAATCAGGTCATGTCTCATATTGTTTTCCACATGTGAGTTTTGACAGGTTAAAGTAGTACAGCTGGATGAGAGGAAGGGGGAAAAAGATGAAAGCTGCAATAGCTCTCAAAAATGAGCTTTTAGTTTTTAACAATTTTCTTCAGGCTTTACAGAATTTGTCTTGTGGATGGTGGTTGTAGTTTGTCACAGAAACTAAAAGATTTTCCTAGTTCTCTGTTCAAGACATATTAGTGCCTATACTCTAGAAGAGGCCTCAATATGATTAATATACGAAAAACCATGCTGTGAAGCAGTTTGGGTTGCTACATGTACATTATAAAACTAGAAAAACAAGGAAGTGAAAAGTTAAGCCACCTAAGAATACACATCCCCTATCCCTCCACACACAAGCACACCCCATTACCACAATTACCATGTGCAACAGACCATGCACTACAACCTTAATTCTGCCCCACTGTCACCATTTCTGCACGCTCCCCCTTAACCAGATTATTTCCCTCCTCCACCATACACAGAGATGGTTTCATGGAGTAGTTGGCTGTGTTGGTAGAGGGCAGTTTGTTAAAAGGTGGAGTGCAAAAGACTGATTAAAGGGGGTGAAAGAATGCTGGCATCCCTCGAAGGGCTGTAATTATGCCCTGTAGTGATACTACGAGGGGAAGAAAATCTAATGTGTCTTTAAAAAAAAAAAAAAAATCAATTGAATCTAAGGAGACCACACAAACTAAAATGAGAGCTCTTAACCGCTTTCAAGTTCTTTGTTTAAAAGCTGAGCCTTTGGGGAGACTGAGGATCTGAAGAAAAGAAGACTGTAACATGGTACCCAGGAGAATGGGCGGGAGGCGGAGAACCCAAGGCCTACCAACTTGTGTGAAGCAAATGTTATATTTATGCAAGACAATATGTGCTTAGGCATTTGTTGATTTAACACTTTTCTCTCTGGATGAATAAATAATACTTGGTTTTGAAGGAGCTCTTCTCTGTCACTGTGTTTACCAGCTGGTTACAGCTCCTGGAGAGAAGTTGATAGCAGAGGCCAAAGCCAGTTGGTTCTGGTGAGATAATGTAATGGATGAACAAAACCGGTGATCGAGTCTAAAAGTGGGGCAAATTGTGGCGTTTTACTCTAAAAGTGTAGGTGTGGGCCTATCACTTTAAAGAGGTGCCACTAGAAAGGTCAAAGGCACAGCACACTCCTGAACCTTAACAACTTGGGCCCTGATTCTGCAAAGACGAATTCATACGTTTAACTTTGTGACCTGTAAGTAGTCCCATTTAACTGACCAGGGCCTTACTTGCACAAGTAGTCTCACTGAAGTCAATGAATATGCTTAACGAAGTAAACACTCACCATCCTGAATGAGGATGGCATGATTTGGCCCATAAAGTTCAATTTTCACATAGAAGTTCCAAAGGAATTGTCATCTTCTAAATCTTAAACATATGTTTTCCATTTATTCTCTATTTTCAGAATTTTAATTGTGTAAAAGAACTTTGCTTTTGGTACAATCATCAGAAGTCGCTACAGTCCTAACACTTATAGTAAAATATATGTTTAAAAAATAGTGTAACATGTGAATGGACTGGATGGCTGGGGAGGGGAAGCTTATATCATTCTTGAGATTAGACAGGCCCAGTTAGGTCACACCCTACTCAGCTGAAAGAATGGGTAGGCCAGATGCTGAGTCTCTGTTGGGAAGAGGAAGGAAAGAAAGGGAAAACCTATCAGGGAAGAGGGAGGGAAAACCTGAGGAAACTCTCTTAATCCTTCTAAACCCCTACTTTCTCCCTCAACTCATCAAAAGGCACTAGTCTAAATTCAATTCCACCAACATTTCAATTGTAACAGCAATTTAGCTGAAGAAACAAATAGTGCATTATACACTATTTAAAAAGAAATCATTATAAGAATTTGTTTGCGAAATATAATGGTAAAGTCATAAATTCCCTGGAGAAGAGAGCGGGAGTGGTTTATTATAGAAATGCTAGACACTAAAGCCCCAGTTCATTTCCATTTAGCAAAGCATCTAAGCATGTGCTTAAAAGCTTCACCAAACTGGGGCCTTAAGCACTGGCTATAACGATAATGAAGTTCTACTTAGCTAAATAAAACATTATCAAAAATATCATCCCTAATCATGCAAATGGAAGAGATGGTGTGGGGAAGTCTTCCCCAGCTTGACAATGATACCTGGAGCGAGTAATATCCCAGATTAACCAATCATTTCCAGCAACTGCTCCAATTTTAAGGGTGTTTCTTAAACACCAATGTGCGGACATCAATGGCATTTGTTCAGACTGGAGAGATAGAATGGCCTGCTGGGTAATGAGATCGTAGAATCGTATTGTTCCATTCTTCTCTGCTACCATCAACTGCAAAAGAAAGCAACACATGGATTTTACTCAGACTTTTGTAAACTGCATTCTTTGTAATTTTGGCCATAATTTAAATCTTTATTACTGCACAGCAAACCAAGTGCTCCTGCAACAAAGCATTAACAGGAATGGAAGGTGTGACACCCAGCTTTTTGGGGTGAAAGTGGTCATGTATTTTAACATTCTGGCAACAATTAAAACAAAATGACAACCCAGCCACTGGTATTTAATTTTCTGAGATGAGTGGGTATTGGAGAAAATATAAATGTCAGTTAATATAAATAGCTGACATCTATCAATTCACATGCTACACATGATGCACTATAGGCTTTTCCATGTACGCACAGCAACAGTATAATCATGTGGAATGGTGGCTGAAGCATGAAGGGGCATACAAATGTTTAGCATATCTGGCATGTAAATATCTTGCAATGCCAGCTACAAAAATGCCATGCGAACGCTTGTTCTCACTTTCAGGGGATATTGTAAATAAGAAGTGGGCAGCATTATCTCCTATAAATGTAACAAACTTGTTTGTCTTAGCGATTGGCTGAACAAGAAGTAGGACTGAATGGACTTCTAGGCTCTAAAGTTTTACATTGTTTTGTTTTTGAGTGCATTTATGTAACAAAACAAAAAAATCTACATTTGTAAGTTGCACTTTCACGATAAAGAGATTGCACTACAGTACTTGTATGAAGTGAATTGAAAAATACACCTCTACCCCGATATAACGTGATCCGAATTAACACGAATTCGGATGTAACGCGGTAAAGCAGAGCTCCGGGGGGCGGGACTGCACACTCTGGTGGATCAAAGCAAGTTCGATATAACGTGGTTTCACCTATAACGCGGTAAGATTTTTTGGCTCCCAAGGACAGCGTTATATTGGGGTAGAGGTGTATTATTTCTTTTATCATTTTTACAGTGCAAATATTTGTAATAAAAAAAATCTTATAAAGTGAGCACTGTACACTTTGTATTCTGTGTTGTAATTAAAATCAATACATTGGAAAATGTAGAAAAAATCCAAAAATATTTAATAAATTTAGATTGATATTCTATTATTTAACAATGCAATGAAACACAATACATTTTTTAATCACAATTAATTTTTTTTAGTTAATCGCATGAGTTACCTGCAATTAATCAACTGCCCTATAAATAACACTAATAATAATACAGTGATTTGAATTATAAGCTGTGATCTGCTTCATAATGATCAGGGAATACCAAAGTCATTCTATGTGGGAACTGAGGCTGAACAAAAGAGAAATGTTATCAGAGCTCAGAAAGCAGAGGTTACTTACCTTGTACAGTAACTGGAGTTCTTCAAGATGTACATCTCTGTGGGTGTTCCATTGAGGTGCGCATGCATCTTTGATTGAAGATTTTCAACAGCAGTGCTTGTCTGGTTCACACATGTGTTCTAGAAACCCTTGTGCCCCATGCCAAGGGATTACAGGGCTGTGGTGGACGACCTGCACACAGTTCCTTCTCTACTGCAAAAGCCTCATAAAGATGAGACTCTGAAGCAAAGGGGAACAAAGGGCAGGTAGTGGAGCATCCATAGGGGACACATCTCAAAGAACTCCATTTAGTGCACAAGGGTAGGTAATCTTTCCTTCTTTCAGTAGAGCCCCTATGGGTGCTCCACTTCAGGTGACTCTCAAGCAGTACCCTCCAAAGGAGGTAGGAACTTCAGAATCTGGCCTAGAACTGATTGCAGAACTGAAGGCAGCATCTGGTCTACAGGCATACACTAAGGCATAGTATCTCAAGACGGTGTGAACGAAGACTCACATAGCAGCTTTCCACTATAGGAACATCTTTTAATAGGGGAACTGATGTAGACTGAGATCTGATAGAATGAGCTATTACCTTAGATGGACACGGCACATTAGCAGCTCCATAACAGGAGAGGATGCAGCCGGAAACCCACCAGAAAATCTCTGGGTGGACACTGGCATTCTGCTAGCTCTTCGACAGACACGGTTAGTCTCAGAGAGACTCTAAAAGATTTAGTACCATCCAATATATGCACTCTCCTAATGTCAAGAGCATGAAGGGCATCCTCCTCCTTATTCTGATGGGGTTTAAGGTGGAAGACTGGCTGATGAACAGTCTAATTGATATGGAAGTCAGAAACGACTTTGGTAGGACGCATTGATGTGGTCTGAGGTATACCTTTACCTCAAAGACAGTATAAGGCAGGTCAGCCATCAAAGCCCCTAATTCACACACACTTTGAGCAGAGGTAACTGCCACTAGAAAGATGGTTTCCATGGAAAGTTTTAAAAGCAAACAAGTAGCTAGTGGCTCAAAGGGAAGTTTCATAAGAGAATTAAGAACTAAGTTCAAATCCCAAGTTGGCATTCTCTCTCTGACATTTGGGAATGATGAATCTGGAAGTTGCAGCATGAGCAAATACTTAGAAACCTTCCAATGGAGAATGGAATGCTGTGACAGCCACTTGGTGGATTTTGTGCTCCATTAAAGAGAGACCTCAGATAGGAGATCTGAACCTCTTCCCAAATGTGGAAGAGAATGTGGAAGGTGTGTTGAGAAATCAAAATTAATTAAAATCCCAGGCTATTTATCTACGTTACCACAAAAGGGACAACTGCTACAGAAAGTATCACTAGATTATGCCCTTTTCTTAGAAGATTTATGTGAGTAGCTCGCAGGTGTCTCCCTGGGCTCACCTCCCTTCGAAGTAGAGGGTTGCGGTAAGGGCTCCTGCTGGGACTCCAGAGGTTGAAGGGCTGACTCCATGAGTAGGAGTTTGAGCCTCAGTTCTCTGTCTTTCCTGAATCTGGACTTCAGTTGTTGACACAAGCCACACTTCTGTGGAATGTGTTTCTCTCCCAAACAGTGAACGCACTGCGAGTGTCTGTCAGTCACTGGTGATAGATCCTTACAACTGAGGCAATTTTTGAAGCCTGGGGAGCCGGGCATACTCTTGTCCATTGGGGACTTCCCAACAGCGGTTAGCAGAAGACAAAGTCCTCTTCTTTTCTTTTTTTTGAAAAGGCAATGGCCAAAATAAAATGTAAATGAAGCATATAAAGAAAAAGAGGCTTTAAAAGAAGCTACAATTAGCAATTTTAAGCGAGTTAACAATCCAGAAATGGACAGCTATAGCTCCATCTCTAGCCAGGAGCTGTTGAGAAGGAACTGAGGAGGGATCGCCTGTGCACTCTAGCCAGCGTTGTGGTAGGAAGGGAGCGATGCATGCGCGGGCTGAACGGACACCAGAGGTGCCGGAACAGGGAGGGCCGGTGGCTATGGCCCCATCGTTTTTTACCAGTTGTAAGGGCAAGCAAGGGGGGGGGGCGGCGTAGAAGAGCGAGCATGGGTTGGAGCCTCAGGGAAAAGGGGCAGCGCAAGGGAAGGGTCTTGGAGAGAAGGGGCGGCATGAGGGGGCAGGGCCACAGTTTGCGTGCCGGTGGCCCCCCACTTTTAGGAAGCTTCCACCGGTCCAGACGGAGACTGCTACCAAAGTTCTCCGATCAGCATCGCAGGGACACAGAGACACTTACAGTGGAGCACCCAAAGGGACACTACTTGAAGAAGAACCAGTCCAATTATAGAATCTGCTGATAATGAAGAAAAACACAGAATGTACTTCTACAGCGAACTCCAGTCATACTATAGCTTCAGAATTTTATAGTTTAGAAAAGCAACACACATTTACATACTGGTTTAAGAAAAATAAGCTGCAGAAGTACAACCTTAAAAGCCTCCTCAGGATGCCAGCACACACTCATTCCAGGGGAACGTAGAACAAAATAAGCCTTTTGATTTCCTTCCAAGTCCCAAACCCTAATAAAAAAGAAAAAAAAAGTATTTACTGCTGTTTGTAAAAACATTAATTTCCAGCCTTAGCCTGCTGACAGAGAGGTGGCCAGAACCAGATGAGATCTGGTATCTATACTCCATCTTTTGAACACAAAGGTATCTAACAGAAGGCCTGATACTGAGAGGTATTAAACACTTAAAAATCTCACTCAAGTTGAAGGGAGTTGTGAGTGCTGAGTACTTCAATGGGTGAGACCCAGATGTCAAAATGAAATTTTTAGGAGACACAAAGGTAGTACATTATTAATTTCTCTTCCTATATTCAAGCATTCTCCCTCCATAATTAACTAGGGGATGGAAACAAGGAAGTGTTATCTTATCATCAGTAGCCCACTTGACCCTCACCCACCCTGAACCATCATTTGGGAGCCACTCCATGCAATAACCCTATAGTGCTATACAGTAGAACCTCAGAGTTATGAACACCAGAGTTACCAACTGACCAGTCAACCACACACCTCATTTGGAATCAAAAGTAAGCAATCAGGCAGCAGCAGAGACACCTCCTCCCCTCCCAAAAGCAAATACAGTACATTACTCTGTTAAACATAAACTACTAAAAAAATAAAGGGAAAGCAGCATTTTTCTTCTGCACATAAAGTTTCAAAGCTGTATTAAGTCAATGTTCAGCTGTAAACTTTTGAAAGATAATGTCTATCAGGGATGGTCTAGACAGTATTTGGTCCTGCCATGAGGGCAGAGGACTGGACTCGATGACCTCTCGAGGTCCCTTCCAGTCCTAGAGTCTATGAATCTATGAAAATCTATAAGAACAATCATAACATTTTGTTCAGAATTATGAACATTTCAGAGGTATGAAAAACCTCCATTCCCAAGATGTTCGTAACTCTGAGGTTCTACTGTATATGAAACACGGATGATGCTTTCACAATACAGGGTGATATCTAAAGCTCCTGCCCCAGCAAAAACTCTTTTTCTTCAAAATAAATAGTTCAATTATATAGGGGTGACATTACATTGTAAACTATACTCATTAAAACAGTAAGTTCGTACTGTGTGGATATGTATATTCTTTACATATGCATAAGGCTATAGAAATATGGCAGTTCATAAGGTTTTAAATAAAATGCTCTATATAGTCTTTAGAGTTGAGTAGTTACGCACTTTTATTGTTTATTCTAGGGGAACTTTCACTGACTTCCAGGGTGCTTAACATTTTAAATGTAAGAGATTTCAACACACTCTCAAATAATGCATCACAAGTCTAGACAAAATAGATATGAAGTAAAGTAAACACATTTAGTGAACAATGTTAGCTTCCTATGCCAAACCACAGCAGATCAAATATTTGTTTTCCCTGTAGAAATCATAGGGTTTCCAATCCTGAGGGATCAGTGTCTTTATTTAAAAAACTAACAAGTGTTTTTAAAAAATGGAATATCTGCTTGATTAGGTAATTTAGAAATGTACAGTACTTTCTTCCACTGCCAGAAATTGTGCCTTGTAGATATTCCAAGTCAAATCAACACTTTTCATGTGTATTTACTGTGTGGGAGAGAATTACGATATAACTGAGGATGGTGAATCATTTTGGCTAAGGGAGCATGCCATCGTGTCTTCTTCCCAGCTGTGAATGAGGTTATTAGGTGTGGAGACAAATTTATGCTCTCTCCTTTACTCTGTAAACAGCAAAGTGCTGTGCTTGTATCTGGTTTATTCTATGTTGAAATGGAAGGATTAGGCACGTTATCTTTCATGAGTCCTATGGGAGAACAATATGGCCATCTCTTCTGCCCATTTCTTTTCTGCATAACAATAGAGGCCATCTCACTTAGTGAGAGGATTTACCCTCAGATAGGCAGCATGTACAAAACAGTTCCTTTTGACTAAAAGGATTGGGACAAGGTTATTTATGACCATTTACAATTACATATGTATTTGATTATGTACTCATTTACTAGTTCTCTGTGGTTCAGTAATGAGCGCAACAAACATGTAAAAAATCAAAGCTTTGGCCAAACTGGATTGCAGTCAGTCAATCAGTTATCACAACCAAATTGGCCGAAGTAAAATTTTGCTCTCCCTTTACTGTTTTCTCCACAGCTCCTGATCTTTTCCCCTCTTTTGTACAAGTCTTTTTATAGCATTCAATAATTTTGTCTTTGAGTTTGTATCTTACCCTAGAGAAACAAGGTGGGTGAGGTAATATCTTTTATTGGACCAACTTGTGTTGGTGAGAGACACAAGCTTTTGAGCTTACATAGAGCTCTTCTTCAGGTCTGGGAATTGCACTGTCACAGCTAAATACAAGGTGGAACAGATTGTTTAGCTTAAGTAGTTAATACATTTCCAGGGACTATTAAACGTGAAGTGGTCTGTTGGAGGGTGGAGGAGAGGGGGAGACAAAAACAAGCGGGGTGGGGTGGAGTGGAGGAAGGGTTAAGTGTGTTACAGATTATTGTAATAAGCCATAAACTCAGTGTGTCTATTCAGTCCATGATTTTTAATATCTAGAAAAGTTATATATTTAAGCACTCAGGCTCATCTTTTGAAGATGTTGTGCAGGTTTCCTTTGAAGACGAGGACTGAAAGGTCAGATACGGAGTGATTGCTTTGTGGGGTGGGAGGGGGGGAAGCGTTCACCCACAGATGATATAGTGTTTTGGTCTTTTATCATGTTTTCTGTGAGAGTTTATTGGACAGCCTAGTGATTGTCTCATTTCACCCACACCGTTATTATTAGGGCATTTAGTGCACTGGGTGACGTATACCGCATGTTGTGATAGGGATGTGTAGGACCCATGGATCCTGAAAGGTGTGTTGTGGGTGGGTGGGTGGGGGGGATGTTGATCATTGTAGCAGTGGAGATATGTCTGCAGGTTTTGCATCTGTTCTGGCAGGGTCTGGTGCCGCTTTGAGTTGATGTGTCTTGACCTGTCTCCACAGGTACAATGACCAGTGTCAGCTAGAGTGCTCTTGTGCCCCCTACCCCTCCCCTCAGTGTCACCAACATTCTGAGGGCCTGAGAGTGAGGCTATATAGGGGGCAGAGGGCACTCACCACCTTAGTTTCTTCCACCAAAAAGCCAGGGTTTAGAAATGTACAGTACTTTCTTCCACTGCAGTACAGTACTTTCTTGCATCTGAAGAAGTGAGGTTCTTACCCACGAAAGCTTATGCTCCCAATACTTCTGTTAGTCTTAAAGGTGCCACAGGACCCTCTGTTAACATTTATACTGTGGCCCTGCATCTGACAATGTAGTCACAGATCATCTCAGTAGAGACAGCTCTCAGATCCACGAATGGTCCTTAAGGGATCAGGTGGTTCAGACCATATTCTCCAGCTGTGGTCGATCAAATGTGGACCTGTTTGCAACAAAGTCCAACAAAAAGTGTTGTCTCTTCCACTCTAAAGCAGGCAGGAATGGACTGTCCCTCTCGGATGCTTTCTTTTTGCACTGGGGAAGCGGTTTGATGTATGCCTTCCCCTAGCCCCCTTCCATTGCTCCAGAAGGTAATGAAAAACATACATCAGGACAGGGCAAGGATGATTCTCATTGCCTCGACTTGACCATGTCGCCAGTGGTTTACCATTCTCCTTCAACCATCTGATGGAGCCTTTATGCATCTTTCTTTGTCTCCAGCTCTACTGTCTCAGCAGGAGGGCAAAATCTTTCACCCAAACTCAGTCTCTTCACCTGACGGCATGGGTGATCAGATTTTGACTCTCTCTGCTCTTGAGCAGACAAGTTCTTCATCTGTGCAGTCAGTATACACTAACTAAGAAAACAGCCCTCTAGAAGCTTTGACCATTTTAAAATGGACCAGATTTCAGGTATGGATGAAAGGAAAACCTGCTTCCCCTGTATCTACTTCCATTCCTTGTATTCTGGAATACTTAACCCCTGAGACAGTAAGTACATTATCTAATTTATCATTAAAAGTTCATTAGCATTCATCTCCAGTATCATACGTTAATTGATGGTAGATCGCTGTTTGCTCATTGTTCAATCAATAGGTTGAAAGGTTTATCAAATGTGTATCCCCCTGTTAGAGATTCTGTCCCTTGGGATCTCAATTTGGTTTTGGCCAGGCTGGTGAAACCACCCTTTGAACCCTTCACTGAGTATTCTTGTTGTCATTTATGTATCAAAATGGATTTCATTATTGCCATCATGTCAGCCAGGAGAGTGAGTGAACTGAATGCCTTTATGGTTGATCCACCTTTCATGTCTTTTCGTAAAGGATAGGGTAGTTCTCAGATCTGATACCAGGTTCTTACCTAAGGTGAAGTCTGATTTTTTTTTTTTCCCCACATCAACCAGACAATTAATTTGCCACGTTTTTTCCCTAGCTTCACTCTAATAAGGGGATATCTGTCCTACACATTCTGGATGCCAGAAGACCTCTCAGATACAGTTTAGTGAGAACTAAAGGTTTTTATACATGGTCTAGAGGATTGTGTCTTATGCTAAATGTCTCATGGATTTTATGGTTTCTTCTCAGACTCTCTCTTGATGATTAATCTATTGCTGGACTTATACATGACTTGCTTTGATTCAACCACATTCCACAAGAGTTATGGCTACTTCCTTCACTTTCCTTAGGCAGGTGCCATTCGCTGACACTTGCAGACCTGCAACTTTGACGTTGATTCATACTTTCACTAAACACTATGCTTTGGCCTTTGGCCTTTAGGTGCTTCAGTCTCCATTCAATTAGGATTCTGTTCTGGGTTCCACATTAGTTTCAGCACTGCTTATTAGTCCATCCCATAAGTGGGAATATGCAGATCCACTTAAAGAAGAAATAAAGGTTATTTACATGTAACTGGAGTTCTTCAAGATGTGTCTGCATATTCACACTTCCCATCTACCTTCTCTTTTCTATCAGAGTCCTTGTTCTGCTCTGCAGACCTGAAAACTAATGACTATTAGTCTAACACAAAGACACCAACTAAGACCAGGAAACATGACAGACATCACTGAATGTTAGTTTGTTTCC